CCGATGAAAACCCCGTCCCGCGTCATACATGAAACTTGAATTCGAAGATCGACAGCTAATTTTGTTACCCACTCCACCCATTGTACCGCAAGTCATTTTCCTAGTTCCGGAATTTCCTAGTTCACAAGAGCGAAAGAACCACTAAAATTCACGGGCGACAGGTCACTCGCTACGTGTGATTTTAAATATTTCTTTAAACTGAATAGTCATATAAACCTTTGCATCTAATGGCTGCTTAATCAAAATGACTTTTTTAGGGTTTCCGTTTTTGTTAATTTACCGAAAACTGCAAGCTTTTCCCCCACTCTCGGATCGCGCGGCGTTAGCACGCAAAGTCGTTGCGAACTCAATTACACGGGCGCAGCAGAAATGTATGTGATGTAATGGGGTTCGTCAACTGTGCGGCGCGGGGAGGGTAATGTTGATAGCTCACTGTACAGTTGAAAAGTCGAGTCAAACCTTACACAATTTCTAGCTTTTTAATTCATTGGAATTCTTATTTTTCATCTAATTTTCTCAAAATTAAAAGATTCTCTGTTAGAAAAGCAACTTTTTACAATGGTTTTGGCTGAAAATGGATTTTTTGTATGGTTACTTTTTATTTGTGAAGACATTTTTGTCTCGATCCTGAACGGATCCAGAACTAGGAAAGGTGTCATCGTCACTTTCGTCGATCGATCCTGTGAGTCCAAATATAAAAGCTTAGATTTTGAAAAAAAAATTGAAGTACACTGTATATCCAAAACACAAAGTTGACTTCTGACCATATTTCACTGGAATTTGAGGATTTTTTTAGCTGCAGTCTTCCTGAATAATTTTCGCAATCCGGAACTAGGAAAATGATTATACCAAACCTATATGAACAAGAGACCGAAGGAGTTTTGTCTTATGAGGGGGAAGTGCTGTTGATGTACACTTACATGACTGTATTTGTAACTATCAAATCCTGTCGATTTAAATGACTTTTGTGCGGGAATAAGTAGTGCTTACTGTTTGAATTAAGAGTATTTTTGTCAAATAAAACAATATGAATGAAAATTACTTTATGTCGGGATTGACGACGAAGCAAGAGCGGACTGTGTAATATTCCAGCGGTACTGGGACTCCACACGGCGTGCGGTAAGTAGTGATCACGCACAAATTGTGGGGTTGATCGGCCTCTTTTTATAATCAAAGCACTAAATGTGCGCTACAAACCCAAAGAGTCAGAGAACCAGTTTAGTGAACTTTTATACCAAGAAATATTCCGTTTCAAAGTTATTTTTAAATTAAAGCAACTTGAATTTCGTCAGTGATTCAGCGGAACTGTGGATGAGGAATTGACCAAAAAAGCAGGAATGATGTTTTCTGTATGAACTAAAGCATTTCAAATCCAAGTATTTTTTCATTCGAAAAAAGGAAATGTTGACAGGTGCAAGTCATAATACAGTCGGCCAATCAAATGTCACTTGTCGAAGTACTTATACATTAAAATCTCGACAATGAACCTCAGGGGAATGGAGTTGTCCTGAAAAAGTATTTATTGAACTAAACTACTTCGTCGTGGTACGTACCTTCGTGTGGCAAAACTTTTGTATCGCTTAGTCATTTAACAACGTGAAGTGCTGCTATTTTTTTCACTTGGGCTTCCGTGCATGTGGTCACATGACCTTTCTTTTTACGGTCACATGGCCGCTGCAGTGTCAGCGATTGGACTGCCTTAAAGGCACTACAATTGGGCCCGCATTGCAATCAGGTTAGTTTCAGCGTCTTGAAAGCCAGGATCACACAGTTGCAGCTACCTTGATTTATGTCACGTGCTGGTCCTCGTCAGAAAAGAAATGAACTTGCGATGACTCCTAACCCTATATAGACTTCCGATACTTTCAACGCCGTTTGAAGCATTTTGGTGGCAGTTTTTTGAATCAGAAACTTCAAAATAAGTGGATGTAATGGTGTGGGCATTGTTCGAGTTACAGCATGTACAGTGGTATTTTTGTACATAAAACTTTAAGCCTTTTAACCCGTGACGTTCATGGCACTGATTTGGTCCGCACGTGACACGACCAGCGCTCACCATTTGTGCACGTGAAATGCGTTCCGCAAGTACGTGGTCATGCAGCATCCGGGACATTTCCTTTGAGCGTTTGTAGGTGCGTATCTCATGTAGGTGGTTTGCAGCTCTGTTCTCTTTTCTGGCGTTCCCCGTGAAGATTTGTTTTTCTGTTTCATACACCCACAAAAAATTTGCAAACTGAAGGTAACAATTTCGTTTGATAAAAAGGTAGGAGAGATTAACTCCGACGTTTAGAACAATGTTCTGCTTGCTTCCTATGTACACGCGCAATGCCATTCGTTATTAGGCGATCTCTTTTCCGGGTACCCGATGTTAACAAAAAATGGGTACCCGGTTCTAAAAATACCCGCAAATGCACACCCCTGTCTGCCGGGACTGTTATGTATCAAATTACTACAGATCAAGCTAGCCTACACCTAGGCCCATCATGCAC